TCATCCACCAGATGGGTTAGATTTTTCGTTTTGATTTGAACAAAGTTGATTTTGTGTACAATGATTCTTTGACAGTGTGCAAAGAGTGCGTATCATTTTGTCATTTTTTATGCATTTCAGTTTTGAGTAGAGTGAAAGAGATAGAACCAAAATATTCTAGTACATTTGGTGAAAATGCTAGTTCAATCCAATAGTAGTGTTGCCATGTGGTACAATCCAGTAATAGTGGTGTTGCCATGTGGTACACTGAAAAATTGCAATAGAAGGTTACCCTAATAAAAAATAACCATAAACGAACGATAACCCAAATCATTGAACTATTCCACAAATGGTTTGGATGATACCCAGAACACGTCGTTAAGCAAATTAACCATACAATTTTTATTAGGGTAGTCACCAAAGTTTTCGAGCCGCTCCGTCTGTCACTTCGTTTGTGGTAGTACTAGCATGCGTGGGTGAGCTACCAATTACGCCAAATCGACGATCAAATGCGTTGTTTACAAAAGCTGATATACGTATACGTTCCTTCGAAAAAGTAATCGAGAAATACTTCTTAGGCTGTGTACCAATTGCCGAGTTAAATTTAACTCGTGGTTAAACATGACATTTCGTAAGTTATTTTCAATGTTCGAAAATGCTGGAAATTGATCAGTTTTCAAACAGAACTCAGCCACGGGTACCAAAATTTAACTTCTAGTCAGTACGAAATAACCACGCTCGTATAGCAGGGTTATTCGATAACTCATCTGTCACTTTTAACCATGAGTTAAATTAAACTCACCCATTGCGACACAGCCTTGGAAGTAAAATTAGGCCATCCATAAATTACGTATATTTTTTACCAATTAACCCCCCTTCCCCCTCGGAGCGTGTTTTGCAATACACCTAATACATGGCCGGTCCCAACTTCTGAAACCCCTCACCTCTCTCAACTACTTCGTTATTTATGAAAGTTCCCTAATCATTGGGCAACACCTGAGTACTGCGAACTAACTCAAAATGCTTGTCATCTGGGAACCGAGTCAAACTGTCAAACGGGAGCCAAACACTCGGCCAAACATTCAAAAGAGCTCAGAAGTCACGTACACGAAACGAAAATCAATTATTTAATTCATGTGTTTCACTTATACATTTTTGCCAAAGCATCAGCCTTATACATTCCATAAGACAAACCACATAGGTCCTATTAGAATGCATAAAAGGTATGTGTGACCGCTTATACATTTCATTTGACACATGATCTTTATTAACTTTTTGCAAGGCGTCTGCTTATTAGTTGACTTATACATTTTATGAATAATCAGCAATGGAAATTTGCCAAAAGGTATAAGGAGATTTCTATCCGTGTAGGTAGTTACTGTTTGAACCACAAGTAAAGGTGTTGCAACCTACTGAAAACAAATTAAGAATTATAATTATGAAACTGTCGAAACATCAACCTTAGTAGGCAGATAATGTAAATCATCGGGCATGATGCTCGAAAATGTGTTTTTGTTTGATATTCATAATGCCAAAACTCGGTTGCAGAAACAAGAATGTAATCAAACTTTATAAGAGTCATGTGAGCTTTGTAGGCAGGTGCTCTCCCATCACCATGTATATGTTATTTCTAGAGCAGAGGAGGAGGAGCCAAGAATTCATATGACAGCATGTATATACAATTTCGTGAGCTGTTTCAGCAAAACAATTTGAAACTAAATAAAATCATCTGAGTTCGCAGTACTCAGGGCAACACTGAAAGACAGCAGCACACACCACACAAAATGGGTTGGACATTTATGCGAAATTTCGGTATTGATAGTCAATATTTCGCGATCAGAACATTTTAGCTTGAAATCCCTCCATTTAATTCTCTGTACATCTTTAATCTATTGATTGAATTAATAAAAAATCTTAATATGGTTGTTTTAAGATTTCGTGCGTTTTGTGAACGCACAGTCATTATTTTGCATAAGAAAACGGGAACGGGGTGTTTCTGTGGTGATAAAAAGGATGAATGTGATAAATTATCAGACGGTACCTCTATTTATGCTTTTAGATTAGCTATAAAAGTCCCTCCTACTTGTAAAATTATGCTATAGAACGGTTTATACAGTTTTTTTGCTGATGGGGACGAGGCATAGCAGGCCGTTCGCTTGCATAATTATTCAAGTAGGAGGGACTTGCAATGCTTCTCTTTGCATAAATAGAGGTACCGTCAAGTTTTTTTTTAGTGCTAGGTTCTGAAATTCGACAGTGAGTGTTCAAAAGGGCCTACTTGTAATGTTCGATTCTCTTCATCGATTTTCTGTTTACAGCTAAGCGAAACAATTGAAGCTGAACATTGCATTAGGTCCTAAGTAACACTGACAAGATTCTCTTCGTCGACTTTCTCCTTGAATCCACTCGGCCCAAGTATTTTCAGCACACATATCGATAAAAGAAGTTTTTATCTAGCATCTAATACGACAACCACAACAAGAAACGATCCTGCGCTCAAGTTATTAAGGCTGTGTTTCATTTGGTGAATTTTTACTTAAATTTGACAGATGGAAAATTTTCAAACAAACCTGCTATTCCAGCAGACTTATTTCTGACAGACAAGGAGTTTCAATTTCATGAGTGATGTCACAACCGTCCAAGATTTATGTCCTAGAAATCTTGAAGTGATAGGGAATATCAGCCATCATGACGGTCATTGTTGGACGCCTCAATGAATCACCTGAAGAAAGCCTTACTTATATCTGATTGTAATTTAGGAACCAAATGAAATAGAATATGTATTCGCATTTTTATGAGGTCCTGAATTTAACCAAGTTTTACTAAGTAGGAAATCCAAAAGGTGTACATAGGAAAGGTTACTTCTACTGTATTTTAAATCAATATCTAGAAAAAATGCACGAGAATTTATCTACACAGCTTAACGTATTCTAAGTCAACCCTGCGGTCGTGTCTTGTACACAACCCCACCAATTTTGTAGTTTGCCCCAACCAGAGATATTAACATTTTAAAAGTGCATATTTTTGGTATAAAAACGTCAATAACTCTTGATCGGCGAAAGCTATTGACAAGCTTTGTGCAGCAAAAATTTGCGCCTTCTTAAGATCTAAAAGTTATTTGAAGACACCTTCGCTGACAAATTCGAAATAAGAAAACTAGAGCAAAACAACTGTTTTTTTAAGAGCCACCCTAACTCCATTCAAGAAAATAGCTCTAAATCGGCCAATTTAAGAGATACAAAAAAGTTATATTCAACAAATTGAAATCAGCTCAGCTATAACTTTGCCGAAAAATGTATACCTTAATTTATTCAAACAAAAAAGTTAGATTTTTGATTTTAATGATAATAGGAACCACCCTAGAATTCATTGTCATAAAAATGAGGGCCTAACTATAAGGAACAACTTTGCAGAAGAGACTGTTAGTCTAAAGTTTCAATTTCAGGCTCAAAACATATCATTCCACCTAAATCTGCATTCTGGACCACTGTGCACTGTACTTATAATTCTGCATATCTGGGTGTTTTTGAGAAACCTTTATCGATACTCTTAGATTGTCGAAGGTTTTTCTTCTAAGCGGTGTGTTTAGAATCCTAGAAATCCTAATGGTTTTATATGCAGCTATTCTCATCCTACTAGCTAGTTCTTCATAGCATTTATCTAGTGTGTCTGTTTAATGTGATAATGAGATTAATCGGAAATAAGGTTTCCACAGATTAGCAGCGCCGGTGGTGTAGTGGTAAGTGTGATTGCCTCTCACCCCAAAAGGCCTGGGTTCAATCCCAGTCGGCGCCGCCGGGATTTTCTGAGGCATAAAATCTCTGATCACGGGAAGTAAAGCCAGTTCATGAGTTGATGGGTCGATATGTCGAGTTCAGGTGAGGGAGCTGCCGCCTTCCTGGCGCCGGTAGCATTGGTGCTCAGCACGGAAAACAAATTTAAGAAAAAAAGGTTTCCACTGCAATTCAACTTAAGCACATTCGATATATAACATCAGTAATAAGTACCTTCCCATCCATGTATCGGGACGCTGCAAGGAAATAGAACACGTTCTAACAAAACAATAACACTGAAGAATGTCGATCGAATGCGTGTCTGCTAACCCACATGAGCATTTTGAATGCATTCTGAAACGATTCAAGATGCTCAACCGACCGACCCACAGACAGACAATGAATGGTGGTAGGTATTTATCGAGTGCATATGTTGCATGTGCTCTCGCATCTTGTGCACGTGAGGATTTCTCTACACTAGCTAAATCGCGATCGGCACTTCAGTAGGTAGGTTGTTGCGTTTAGTTCTTGTGTTATCATCTTGTAAAATGCGAACAAGCCCCACTTGCCACTGAATTGTAATTCAAACGTGAAAACTTGCATTAGTTCACGAGTTTGTTCCAGTTATGCTTACCATTCCAATGCGAGACTTTCTACTACCTTGGTATGGCTTTATTGAAATCCTGTACTATGGGATGTGTAAAGTTCTGCGGGCTGTCAGCTTAAAGAAATCACGTGGATTGTTCACAAATCTAGCGGTACCAAACACACCCACGTGGGAAATTCCGCCAATGTAGAAATCACAGCCATTTTGGTTTATTTGAAACAAATATTTTACATAAACAGTAGGCTCACTTCACTTGAAAAACTAATCAATTAATAAAGTTAGCATGAATCAGTGACCTTCAGCAAAGTTGTTTCCTATAGTTTAAGCTGATAATTTTCCGATAGACAAGGTGAAGTGCTTCCAATCACAGCTAAATATCAAAAACTGTTCCATTCGACGTGGAATAACTCGCACACTCCTTCAGTTCAACGCTAAATCATATCACTCTCAGTAGAGTCACATGCGACTGCGGCGGCGGGCGTCGTTCTCTCAGACGACGCTCAACTCAACCAATCAGTCTTCGTGCAACAAGTGCGGGCAGCGGTTAGCCAAAAATCGTAGAGTTTGTTGTTGCTTATCTAGCGCGAGCGGACCGCATGCTTATTCGACGCGCCGTCGTCGTCGCATTCACATCGATTGCTATGGACGAAACCTATGGTTCATATTTATAGAACAACTTTGTCTGTTTTTGTGGACAGTATTTTCACGGTTCTACACCCACAGTAATCGGTGCAGCCGGCGTGTGTGACGGCAAGTGTTTATTTTTAAAATTGTTGTTTACCAACGTGTTCTGCTCGCATGCTGGCTCGCTCTGTCGGTAGCGTGTTTGGTTAGTCTTACTCGTGGTGTGTTTACTGGTTGAAAGTGTAAATCGACAAAAATAGCTTTGCACGAGATTTGCAAGGAAGAAAGCATAAGTTCGCATCGAAAAAAAAAGTTTGCAACAAGCAAGAGTGGTTTAAAAAAAAGTGCTGTGTGTAGAAGGCGATCCAAGGGTTAAACGCTGCTGATAACAGACACTCACTCACACCACAGTTTTACCGACTCCGGCTAATCCACTGCACTGTGTTCGTTCGAGTGTGGATCGTTTTTTTAAGTTGGATCCATCAAATCGGCGGTAGCAACGGTGAACCGCGCTGTGGTGCTGATTGACCAATTTAATTCAATGAGGAAAAAGCAACCAACAGCGGCAGCAGAAGCGTCGTAGGAGTGAATCACATTGTGTACGTATGAAATATATCAAAACGACTAAGGATGTAAATTTAATTTATACACAATACATCTTTCGCCATGTGTGGGGCAGTGAATTTGATCCGTGAGAGAAAGATTCACATGAAGACAGTTTAGCGTTTTAACACATTGCCAATATCGCAACGGCTGCGTCTTTGTTGTGGATGGAAAGTTTCGAAAAATTTAAAGAGATAAATAGGAATGCACACATATGTTTAGGAGCGCGTGCGTCTGATGGTTGCAAATCGGTACGCACCGTGTGAAATCGATTGTATATTTGAAATTATTTGCGTAACCTGAAAATTACAAATCATATGAGTGTGGTAGGAGACGAGTTAACACATAAATATTTCTCGCGTAACATTTGAACAGGGCCTGTAATCTTCTGTAAACAAACTTTTAAAACCACGGTGCACTTTGATCCAAAAAGTGGTACTTTATTTCTAGAACTTGACCTTTTCATTTTAGCAATAAAGTGTCTTCAGAAGATTTGTTTGTTTAAGGAGTCAAGCCCACCTTGAAGGCCAACAAATAGCGACATTTTGTTTTTTTTTGCTAGGAGAGTAAGCGACATATTTCAAATCGATTTTCACACATTTATTGTTCTTACATTCGTCTTCGAAAATCATTATATTATGGTATTAGACGGTCCGCGGTGGACACGCTGGCACGAGCAGAAATTATCTGAAATCAAACATTTCAAAGGGGTTGCATTAACAATCAGTCAATTCGGCGGCGACCGATGGTTTTCGAGGTAATCGTGATTAAATGTTTTAAATTATATTCCCGGTATCATGGATATGGTTATCTTCAAAGTCGCATAACTTCGTCAATTTATATCGGATTAACTTGAAATTAAGGGAAATTAATCTTATGCAATAAAAAAAAATCGATGTTTGAAACTTTGCCGGTAGTCGCATGACTACTTAACACTCCGAATACGGTGGGTAAAAAACTTTACGCCGACTACGAAGCCTCCGCAAAACGTGTAACGGCAAGTTTGCAATGACATAGCTTAGCCATTTCTAGATGCATTTCAAAAAGTGTAGTACGTCTAGAATTTCTAGGGTCTATAGATTATTTTTATGGGTAACAGATTAAAAATAGGGTCGTCTAATTTTTTTTAAAGCGAAAAGAGTCGTTACACGTTTTCCCCTCCCTTAGTTTTTTCCGAGGGGGACGACTCTATCTACGATGCAGAAAAGATTGTGCTTTGCTGTGGCTAGCTGCGCGCACGCTGAGTAGATAGAAAGAAGATTGATGACGATCCTGAGATATTCTGCAAAAAGATGATGCGCGATGCAAGTAGATGCGAGAAATGAAAGAAGATTTTTCGAAGATTGATTCGCTAGTGTGAGATTTGTTGAGCATCTAGACTTGAGATTTAGATGTGTCGCCCCCGCCGGTTTTTTCGAAAGAATTTGGAACTGTGTTATAAGAAAGAATTTGAGGTCATGTTTTAATCATGGACCTGGATGGCCATAGGACCGTCGTCTGGAAGATCTGGAACATCCAAAAATGTCAATCCATAAAACTGATCCGACAGTTCCACGGTTTTTTTTTTTTTCAAAAACACGTGGAACTGTGTTATAAGAAATAATTTAGGGTCGTAACATAAACATGGACCTGGATGACCATAGGACCGTTCTCCGGAAGATCCGTAAAAGTGGTCCAGTCATGATACTGATTCTAGAGCTCCGCGGTTTTTTTTCGAAAACATTTCGAATTGAGATATATGAATGAATTTGGGGTCGTGACATAAACATGGACTTGGATGGCCATTGGACGAAAGATCCGGAAGATCCGTAAAATGACTTCATCCATGAAACTGTGAAAAACGCGTTTTTTCAAAAACTCTTGGAACTGTGATATAAGATAGAATTTAGGGTCGTGACATAAACATGAACTCGGATGGCCATGGGACTTCCAAAAGATCCGGAACAACCATAAATTGGTAAATCTGTGAAACTGGTCCTAGAGCTCTGCAGTTCATTTTGAAACACTTTGAACTGTGATATAAGAAAGAATTTTGGGTCGTGACTTAAAAATGGATCAATGTGGCCATGGGACCGTCCTCTGAAAGATCCTGAACATCCGTAAAAGTGGTAAATCCATAAAACTGATCCCAGAGCTCAACGGTTTTTTTTTTTTTCAAACATAATACTTTTATCAGAATGAATTTGGGATCGTGAAATAATTATTACCTGGATGATTGTGGGCATCAGCCAATCAACGATCTTGTTTATACGAAATTCCTCGACATTTTTGTGTACAAAGTGTTCAGCATCAGCTGAGGATTTCAAAATGCCTGAAGCTTAGCCAAAAATCTTGAATTGAACCAGCTAACTTTTAACTGCGTATTTTTGTTGTGCACATTTAGCAATACAGTTGTATTCGTGCAAACTGGTGGTGGCGAGGGGAGATGTAGCCCTCCCCAAGTAACCAAAAGTTCTGATAAAAGGCTATTTGTGGCTTAAGCACCTTGGTTGAAGGTGGTCTATAGAATTCTAAGTAGCCTCATTTTTAAGTCGTTATAAGAATTTGAATGTTCCGGTACCATAATTGAAGAGCATTCTAAGCAGCCTCTGGCGGAACTTGAACGGAACTTTTAGAAAATAAATTAAAAAAGGTTTTTGCCCTCTATCGGTCCTATATTTAAGTTCGCACTTCTATGAAAGTTATTTCTAAAGGGAGGTATTAATGTGTATTGATTTATCAGCATTAGTAGTAGTAATGGAGCTTTTTGAAGAATTAAACACAGTCTTTCTGCGTGAGAGTCTCAGCACAAACCGCTACGTCATCTGAAATATATTAAAGTGAGCTGTTGTTCCGCCTATTGTTGGAGTTTTCTGAGCCAGCTAACTGACTTGAATACGAAACACAACACCTTGAAGAAATTTAAATTGGTGTTTGCCCGCATGGTATTCCGTCACACTTGTCGCGCAGTGGTTAGCAATCGTAGATCACATGGGTTCACGGGTTCGAATCCAGGAAATTACTTTTTATTTATTTTTTATTTTTTTTTATAGAATGTTGCATAAATATAAGAATTATGATTTATTCGGGCCACTGATTATTTCATAATTAGGTACATTAAATTTTGTTACAAATAAAGACTTGTGCGGATTGCTGGAACTTTATTTTAACTTTATGGAACTTGAAAGTTCTGTCGGAACTTTATTTGAACTATATGGAACTTGGAAGTGTTGAATGCGGAACTTTTGGTTACTTGGGTCACGTATGTGTTGGTAGAGGCAAAAATATAAACATTTCAGAAGACGATTAAAATAACACGGTCTAGTATCATTTTCATGGAATTAGCACTGTTATGGATGTTCCGGATCTCTCGAAGGACGGTCCCACAGCCATCCGGGTCCATGTTTCTGCTACGACCCCAAATTCATTCTTATATCATAGATCCAAATGTTTTTGAAAAAAACCACGGAGCTCTAGGATCCGTTTCATGGATTGACCACTTATACGGATGTTACGGATCTTCTAAAGGATGGTCCCTTGGTCATCCGGCTTCATGTTTGGCGTAGTGGTTAGCATCCATACCTCTCACGCCAAAGTCACGAGTTCAAATCTCACCCCCGGACAAGTCACGAATGACCCAAGAGCGTTAAAGTGACTACACAGAAAAAAATCTGAGTTTTAACTATCGCGTAAAATCTTCCTTCGTTTAATTTTGAGCTATACTTGGCATGAACAGTGAAATCGTTTACAAGCTGGCATACAATATTGCTAATCTATGCGATATTGCGCTTAAATTTACATGAAATATCGCGTAAATTTATGCAAAATCTAGCGTTAATTTTATCTCGCAGAAATTTACATGAATTTTTCGAACAGTGTATAATAATAATAATAATAATAATAATTATAATAATAATAATAATAATTTCATAGATTTACTACTTTTACGGATGCTCCGAATCTTCCGAATGACGGTTCTATAGCCATCTGATCCTAAATTATTTCTTATATCACGTTCCACTTGGTTGCAAAAAAAAAACTGCGGAGCTCTAGGATCAGTTTCGTGGATGAACCACTTTTACGGATGTTTCGGATCTTCCGGAGGACCGTTCCGTTGTCTCTTGGATCCATATGTAGGAACCATGACAGTATTCTGGCTAATTATGAACATTTGTGCTTATTAATCTAAATTATAGGCCTTAAACCACTTGCAAAACTTATAAACACACCTTTAAATAAACGTGTAACGCTTTTAAAAAAAGTAGACGACCCTATTTCTAATATTATTACGTTCAAAATAATCTAATGACCCTAGGAGTTCTAGAGATACCATAATTTTTGAAATTCATTAAGAAATGGCTAAGTTATACCATTGCAAACTTGCCGTTACACGCTTTGAGGAGGCATCGTATTCGGAGTGTTAAATATCCTTCACAGTTTGAGTAGGGTAAATTATGGCTTCGGCACCCATTGACTATTTTCGGCAACCGAAATTGAAACGTTAATTTCACTGTATTTTCCCATCAAAACTCTTCGCTGAATGTATTAAGCCGATTCCTTACCTTTTCAGCTTCAATCTGATTACATTTTTACGACTGTGCAATCCTGTTATGCCATATTTTTCTTTAAATTAAATATACACACTACAAAATACAGCTGATTTCGAGTTGCCGATAATAGAACAGCTGGTTTACACGCAATTCAAATGGAAAGGGTGCCGAAGAAAAAGAGACTGCCGACAATAGTCACACTCACCTGAGAAGTTTGGAGCGATGTAAAAACATGTTCAACCCGTTTTGATCAATTCTGTCGATTGGAATTGGTAGAACAGCAAGCAGCAGATAAATGTCAACAAACAAACCTGTCATGTATGTGTGTGACGCTGAGAAATCGCTAATAGAAGTTCGGACGCTGCTTAGATTGACGAGAATACGTAAATTCCCCTATATCAAAAAAATCATGTCTTATGCCACGGATACACTTGTATGACAAACTAAACCATGGCCGTCTTAGTAAT